CCTTACTGGGGTCATTTGAACCCCAGTGCTCTTCCTGCCATGGCAGGGGGTCAGACTAGATGATCTGCTCAGGTCCCTTCCGACCCTAGAAACTATGAAACTATGAAACTTTTCTCCTTTAAAGGAGAAAATCCAGGTTTTTTTTCCTTAAAATGAGAAAATCCAGGTTTTACCAGATTTTTTCCATGGCGAACTGAAAACCTGGATCCCTGGTGATGTTTCATGTGTTCCCCTTGCTGGATGTGCAGTAGTAGTGATATTCCTTTGAGACTTAGTGACTAAAGAAGTAAAGTTTCGTGATGGGCAGGTACCATACTCTTGTATGTAAGCGATGGACTGTTCTAGTATGCAGAGGGTAACTGATAAAACAGAGCGAGAGTCCCACACAGGCAACATTCAGCCTGTTTAACATGACTTTGGGTGTGTTAAGTCTTTACACGCTAATGGGAGTGCTGTTCCCACGTGACAATATTGCACTAAGGAGACTGAAAAAGGCTTCCAAAAATCTCTACTGCAACTGGTGATATAAACTTACTAGTAAGTAAAATAGCTTTAATCTAAATTCACCATTCAGTAGTACCTCCTCTTAGGGCTCTGCTGTATGTTTAAATTTACAGCTGAATAGAAACCAGCTATGGAGTAGTTTATACCTTTTCGAGCACTAACTTTATAGCTGGTTGGGTCTTGTTGTAACTGGATGGTCACTTTTATCATGTGATAATTACTTTGCACATGGCTGGTCTAAACTTATTGCACAATGCATATAATGTGTAGCAGGGGCCTTAGTGAATTGCCCAAGGTCACCCAGCAGGTCTCCCTTGGGCCATATTGCCTCTATTTGGCCTTTGGTTCCTAGTTTGCATCATGAATTTAACTGGGAGTTGTGTTTTAAAGATAACAAAATGCAAAATTGGAACCAGGATTTTCTTCCTCCTACCAAATGCTCTTCTCCAGCCTTTTTCCCTCCTCTCCTGAATGAGATGAGTGAGGATTCTACTGTTTTTCAGGGGCTCTAGCCCCAGGTGGCTTTTGCTGAAACAAATGGATGAACTAAATTTACTGCTATGTGTGTTGGTTTTGAGGAATCCTTTTTTGGCTTGTTTTTTTCCAGCATCACTGCCGAAAGTGTGGGAAAGCAGTGTGTGGCAAATGCAGCTCCAAGCGCTCCTCCATACCACTGATGGGATTTGAGTTTGAAGTGCGGGTCTGCGATAGCTGTCATGCCTCTATCACAGATGAGGAGTAAGTCTGAATAGGCCAGCTTGCCTCCGAAGGGTTTGAGATGCAGAGCTCTGCCTATGTGTTGTTTGAGGCAGTAGGTACACAGGGGCTGTTGCAGAATGCCACAAAATGCCTCTTCCTTCAAGAAGCCCGGTCTTCTTCCTTCATAGGTTCATACTGAGGAAAAGAACTAATAGTTCTCCTGTATAGGGCTATAGATGTGGTAGACCTGAACAGCTGTGCCTGTTGTGGATGCCTGTCACCAGAAAGATGGGTAAAATGGAGTTCAGAGAAGAACATCAATATGATTGGGGCCAGGAGAATTCACTTAATAAAGAGATAGTAAGAGGTAAATAGGAACACATAGGTGGCATTCAAAGGCTGGGAGCACATAGGTTCCCTTATATCTGAAACTGTTCTTGTATAAGATGGAGAATGAAGTGTGTTGCCCGAGGTAGTTCCTGTCTGTTCTCCGCTGAACCTGGAAACTTGGTTTTTACTACATGACTACAGTTATCGTACATGGTTGAAGAAGTATGACAAAAAATGATTACAATGTCACAGTAAAAACCTCCGGCAGTGGATTTTAGAGCTCTGGTTTCTTACCCTCTGCCTTTTTTGAAAGCTTTGTCCTGGACTTTGCCTTACTAAAGACTCTTCTATGGGAATAGATTGCCTTGCCGTAGGCTGGTTCAGAAATATGGAAACACTTAAGTCACCTTTTGAGGTGCTAGGAGTTCAACCCATGCTGTTCCAGAAATTCTGGCATTAACCTTCTAAAGGCAGGGGCAGTAGGGGAAGGGTTTCTGTCACAGCTGTGTATTACTTCACCAAAACCATTTCCTTTCCTTTCAATGGCATCGTTTGGCTATTTAACATTTTGCTAGCATATCTGTGTCCAGTAAGGAGCAGGTTTATACCCTTCAAAGAGAGCAAAGCCATCTCCTCTCTCTCAATAACAAGAGACATTGAAAAATCAATGTCTTATGTTACCATTCAAATAATCATTTTTTTCAGCCCTGCAGTCCTGGCCTCGCTAACTCTTTCTGATACTTGTTCCTTCTGTAGACGGGCACCCACAGCCACTTTCCATAATAGTAAGCACAACATTGTCCATGTACACTTTGATGCAACCAAGGGATGGCTATTGACTTCTGGGACAGACAAGGTTATCAAGGTAAGAGTAAGCAAATAGTTCATTCCTCCCTTCTACCCCTTTTCCCATCCCCCCCATACTGCTCTCTTATTTTCCACATAGTTTAAGTTCCACGTCTTTGTTCCCCCCCTGCCAATAACAGGAGCTACTCTTGGTCCACGCAGTCTCTAGGCCTTCATGATACCTGCTCACTTCCACAGTAGCTCAGGTTCTTTCGGCATATGAAGAGTCACCAATGCTTTTCTGCTGGTGGTTGGTCCACATCTAGGCAAGCAGGGCCACCACACAGTGGAATGGTTCATTTGATCCAAAATGGTCCTTGAGCCTATTTGTATGTCACCTAGTCCACTGACAGATGTTCAGTTAAAGTTGCAATGGGATCTGATCCACCCTGTTGTTGATGCAGGGTGAGCCTGAAATGATCCTAGGCTCTTCCTCCACTGGTAAGTAGCAAGCCTGATGCTTCTGTGGATGGGAGTGCCAGTAGGCTGATTTGACGCACCCAGCCCCAGAAGCATTCTAGAGCCTTGAAAGGGCTCTGGTGGCTCCCATGGCTGGAAGCACCAGTCAGCAAATTGGCACTGGTATCCCCAGGAGCACACGCACAATGAGAAATAGCCACAAAGTTATTACACATTTTGTGTAATAATTTTGTGTCCTATTCCCTGTTTTATCGTGCCATTAATTGCATGAATATGTGGCCAGGTTGCTGCTTAACATGTGAATAGCTGATTAATTGCATCTCAAGTGTAATGTCTGCTAGGGGACCCAAGTGACTGAACAACAGTACTGATGCAACATATCCCCTGCCCTCAGAGACTGGCTCTGACCTCGTGTCTCTGCTAGGCTAGCAGGGGATGAGTAGACCATATTTCAGGTGAAAACCACTATTTCAGGTTCTGTGGCTGGGTATTTATTGAGGTAATGAATTCTACACCTAAGTCCATTAATAACTTTGTGCCTTTTCCATGCAAGTAAGCACGCTATGATTTCAGGCATGCTGATAAGGGAATCAGTAGGAAGAAAATGTGATCTGCTAAGACTAACTGGAATTACTGTTTTTATCCAGACTAATTCTGATTTTTGATCAGTGGCCAAAGCAAGTACCATCATTTTACTGAGCTTTGTATTTGGAGCACTGGTATAGTAAGAATTGGGTGGAAATAAAAACTGCTGTAACCAAGCAGTAACCAAAGTATTGGAGAGTTGGAGGAATTGCTGTGAAACACTGAAAACAGTTTTAAATGGTCAAAATTTCAAGTGAGTTCATAAATTACTGGGGTAGAACATTTTCTCTTCAGCGAACAGTCTCAAAATCTCATTTTAAAACAATTGCCTTTTTAAATCAAATTCCTTTGATTTAAACAATACAGTACAGAGACAGGCATGTTAATTCAAAGTCAGGCAGAAGGCATGACACGGTTCTAAAAACTTAGTTCCAAAGTACCATTCTGCCCTGTTTTCTACCAGTACAGTACAGGTTTTCTATGCTCATTCTGAATAACTGTAATGCAGCTTTTGTTTGCATATGTGACTTGAATGTTTGTGGGCAAAGGTCTCAATGTATGTCTATGCTAGGAAAATATGTGGAAAGAACTGCTAGAGATTTAGCTTAGATGATGTACATGGTAACCTTTTTCCCTTCCTCCCCTCTTCCTTGTGAAGACCACAGGCTAAAACAACTTGATCCACAATGTACCTAGTTTAGGAACTGACTTGAGTGTGTTTTTTGTTAGGAAGACACAAGTCTCCACCTATAAACTTTTTAATATTAGAAGGGAGGGTGACATGGGCCAGCTACCTTGACAGTAAGTGTCAACCTTACCTTTTTTGCCTGAGGAAGTCCAGTTCTGGTGTACATCAAAGTATCTAATCTTAGTGAGTATTTCCTGGGTAAAGATGAGATGGAAGGTGTCAAGTTTCAGTGCAGAGCAAGTTAAAATTCTGAGGGAGTTCATAATAAAGGGATGGGAATAATCATTATATTAAAGAGAGAGCCCTGTAGATCATAACGTTAATCAGTCATATTGGCAGAAGTGCAGTGTTCTTGACTCTGTTTTTCCTGAAAGGCCTATTCTGTAGGTCTGTCTCACCCAATTAAAGAATAACAATAGCATCCCTTGCATACCTTTGTCTAACTGACATGAATAATGAAAGCTTCCAGAAACAGATATGTTCCTTGTAAAGAAATGAGTCAAAAATTGGTCAAGAATTCTCAAAACTTTGGCTTCCATATTTGACCTAATGCTTCTCTTTAACAGAATAGCACATTACACTTGTCCAGTATTACATACCACTTTTTTTTTTCTTAACAGTTATGGGATATGACACCAGTAGTGTCTTGATGATGCATCACTAGAAAGTAAAAAGTCATTTTTTTCCTGAAGAAACAGATTCCCTAACCCTAATCACGTTGCAGAAGATAAGATCGTGCAGTGTGCGCGGCAGATGAAAAAGGAACTAATGCATCTATGATTTTAAGTCCTCTGCTAGATCAAGGCTCAGCGTTTGCACAGAGACTCTATTTCAACTTATTCTCAAAAATATACAAGAAGGTATTTTTTTAACTAACGGTTTGTACAATCTGGCTGCGTTCAGGTGTTTTGAGTTTGTCTGGAAAACCTGTGTGTAGTGCAGTTTAGTTTTTGTTTTTCATTATGTCGGGATATATGCTGCTTGGTGTGGAGGGGTTTCTTGGTTTGAAATGTTTCCAATACCCGCATACTGTATACAAAGCTGTCAAAATTCCACACGGGCCCCCCAACCTCCTTCACAGAGACTACCTATTTATTTGTGATGGGTTTTGCTAATGTGTTCTCTTGTGAAGGAGTTTTGAAGTCGGGTCTTATATTTAACAAAAAGGTGCATTGTAAAGGGTTTGAGGGATTATTGCACTTCTAAAAAGGGCTTTCCTGTTTATATGTTTTAGCAAACATCATTCCCAGGTGTGGTGATGGTACTGAGTTTCATTGACACCTTCCTGTCCTTTTCCCTTGCCACACAAATTGCAAAATGAAGGGGATGGGTTGCTTAGCAACTCCTTTTACAATAGCTGAAATTAATTTTTTTCAGCTCAGTGTTAACAAGAGCATCCATGCCAGTTTTGAATTTGAGTCTGTGCAAACTGGTTCAAATTAAAATACTGGCAGGAGCTTAGAACTGTGGAAGGGCACAAAGTGGGGCCTAAGCAAATTTTTGGGCCTGATAAGCTTGCTCTTCCTCAGGAGGCATCATTTTAGTGTTCTGTATTGCTGGAGATTAAATTCACTTCCCCCACTCTTGTTCCCAATCTGGTTACTTATATTTATTTTAAAATGACTGATTTTTCTTTATTGATCTTGTCTGAGGTTGCTGAATTACACCCACATGTCCTGCAGTTGGAATTGGCATTTCCTTTTAAAAATAAAGGCAACTTAAAAACCTGAATTGGTCTAAATGACCTTTTTACAGGGGCATTGTTAAAGTTAATAGGCAAGAAAATTGCCCTCCTTTTTTTAAGAAGGTCCTGTCTGCTAGGTCATCTCTCTGGATTCTTTCAAGTCGGTGCACTTGCAAATAGCTTCTCTCAGGGCCAATACCATATTTACTCGAATATGAGACAAGGTTCCCCTTTTTCCTCCTTCACCCCACATTGGCATGAGTGGAAAAAAAGCCCCTTGCCTTATAATTGTGTACAAGGAAATTTCACTAAATACATTCTGTCATTAAACTGCTGCCAAAAGCAGCATGTGCTCAGCAATAGAAACCAACTCTGAAGTTGATTAAATGCAGCTAACACTGAGTGACTATAAAACACATGGCCCAACATTAGGCAAACATGCTGATGGGAACCTGCCACAAAAATAGATTAGTACAGCCCATCTGAATAAGAAATATGATAGTACCTATTAAGTGCAGTCCCCCTCACCACCAACTGTTTTTCAAGTCATACTGAGTTATGGCATTGCATACAGTTCACCCAGAATCCCTGTGTCACCCCCTCTCAGCCATGTTTAATTTCAAGATGGTTGTTTTCAAATTTGTTTCTAACTTCTATGTGCTCAATAGGATCTGATGGTAAGGAGAAGGGGAAGGGATTGCCAGGGGGGAAAAAAGTTAAGGGGAAGCAGAGAGCAAAGGGGCTCCACAACTGCCCTGATTTATTTTCCGTGCTCTAGCAGTGGGAGGGGAACAAACTCAAGGCAAGCCTCCAATAATTAGATTCTATACCTGGAAAATTATAACACATTTATAAAGTTTCCATATATAGAATCTAATTATTGTGGGGGGGCTATCTTATAATCATCTTCTATTCGAGTAAATACAGTAATAATTTAACATCAAATGGAGGGACCTTGGAAGGTACTGCAGGACCTTCCACATGGGGCTGCTGTTGAGACGCTACGACCCAGTCGCCAGGATACAAGAAGAAAATGGCCAAACTCGGGTCTGCTGGTAGCTCTGAAGTAATTTGCCCCTGTCCAGACTTCACAGTCTCCCTTTATACTCTGGAGTAATGATACTGAATGACTTTTTTACTAGTCTAGATTGCAAAGTGCTTTACAAGGGAAGGGCTAAGTAAAGGATTGCAGCCTCGTGAAAATCTACTCTTACCTGGGGTATGCAACTACCTTAACAGGTGAATAGGAAGTGCAGTTGGTTTGTAACTTATTGGTCTTTATGGTAAAAGGCAAATGAGTAGATTCTTGTGTGTGGCAGGGAAGATGAATCTTCTTGCTACTGTTTACTTTATTTTTTTCATTCATCAATGTATTTATCTCCTACTGAAAGCAGTGCCATCCTGGATTTATTGGTCATGCTATTTAGCATCTGGCTCTCCTAATCAGTGTATGTTAGCATGTATTTTTCAAAAAATGGGCTAAAAAGATTCTTTCCCAGTTTGAATGTTAATTCTTTTTAAAGTCGGTCTGCTTCTTGTCATGGCCACCAGCCATTCATGTTCTCCTTTACACTGACTGGTGGTTCATGATCTGGCTTTTGTGACTGAAATTTATTTTTCTTGACAAAGCTATGCAACATCAGTCTGTGGCTTGCCAGCATTCAAACACTTATTGCTTAGCTAAAGTGAAACTCTGCTGCCTTAGGCTGCTCCATAATACCTCAGGGTAATTATGGACTGCTACCTTTATAGCCTGACTAACTTTGCTGCTGCCCTGGGCAAGTATCTAGTAGGATGGATGAAACATCAGGAAGAACAGGACTATATTTAAATTGAGGTGTCTAAAAACGTGAAGTAGGAGAAACCTGGTGGACAGCTGGTCTGTATTTTTAAGTCAGTGGCATTCTGACAGCTTACAACAGTTTAAAAAAAAATGTCCTTATGTTTGCTCCCACAGGCTGCATCCCCATGAGCGGAAACATGCAGTTTGTGGCATCTCAAAGCCTTTAGAGGCACCACAAAATGCACGTAGTGCTCATGAATCCATTTGCTGCTCTGTATATTTGTAGCGTGGTGGCAAAATTAGATACTGGGAAATCCTAGCATCCTTTTAAAAAAACAAAACAAAAAAAAAACTACAGCAGAAAAAAGCAGTGGCTGCAGCATGTGCTGCCAGAAACAAGTCTGGCTGGCCAGAGCTACACTCCACCTGCTGGCCAGGCTCCATGCGCCCATCTCACCCCTGCTGCTGCTCCCAGAGGCCCGCCAGGACCCAGGTAAGGCTGCTGAGGCAAGCACCTGGGCTGGCCCCAGCCTCCCCTACCCCACCCAGGGCAATTTATGCAAGGGCAGCCCTGGGGACAACTAGCAGCAACACAAATATATGCCACTGCTATTAGCCCCAGGGAAACGCACAGTCCCGCTCATGGGGATGCGCCCATAGTATCTGGGAATTTCAAATCAGCCAAACAAAAAATTATTCTCTTGAGCCAAAGTATTTATCCCAGACAGAGTCAGGCTTCACGGAGTCCGAAGAACCACTTGACTATGAGAGGTGACTGTGAGGTAAGAAAAACCTTTCCCCAACCCTGCCAACTCTAAGGCCCTTCCCTGATCATTAGTTTCAGTGCAGTGAATAAGATTTAGGTAGGCGACAGCCCCACAAATAACTTCCTTTGTCTTTTTTTTGGCTTTTAACATACAGGCAGTGACTGTAAGGCCCTTCCACATGCAGTCTGCTAACAAGATGAGTAGGAGTCATACAAGTGAAAGATCATCAGGGAGAGAGATTTGTTTCTCGCCATGACGCTGATTCTCACCGGAGTTCTATCTCATGTCTCTAGAAGGCTAAAATAGGCCTGTCTAATTTGAGATCATCGTCCTTTATCTTCCACATGGAAGTATAGAAGGATTTGACATTTGCAAAATTAAAAAAAACAGACAAAAAAGAGTCCAGCCTTAAGTGTTAGGAGATCAATTTCTTTTGTCCCTTTTGAGCAGCATGGAACCCAGGATTCTGGTTGCCGCTGAGTCCTGCTAAAAGCAGTGAAAGAAAAGGAAATGGTACAATCTACGAAAATAAGCTGTTTCTTTTTGCCAGTTCCAGGGAGTCTTTGAACAGGGCTGTTACATTGGACAGAAGACTAAAGCAAGAAAAAATCCATATTCCAAAGGTAGTTGGATTATGGTGACAAGTTCTTTGTTGTTTTGTTTTTGTTTTTCTTTAGTTAGTCCAAAGGTTACTGCTGGGATAGGGTGTTACAGACCATGCTGGCTGCCTTCTTTTTCTGATTTTAAATGCAATAGATTTTCTTATGTCCCTTTTTTGCTATCTCTTCGTCCTTTAGGAAATCTAGTCACCCTATCGTGTTTAAAAACAAATCACTGCACTGTTTATAGCAAATAGAATCCACTGGTATTGTGGAGCGCGACAATAATAAACCACCTGGACAATTGATTTGAAATGCATACATTCAGAATTGTTAAAGAAAGATACGGCTGAGTGTCTGGGGCTTGGGGAGAGACTTTTTAAAGGTAAAAATGAGAAATAATGACAAGTGTTAAGGAAACAAAAAAATACATATGGACTACCAGCAATGATCTCCTAGGGTCATTGCTGTTTATACTCTGAGAATGGAAAAAAATATTCTTCCTTGCTTGGGTCCTTTTTAAAACTGGACTCTGCGTAGGGTCAGCAGACAGTATTACAATGAACATGCATGCAGTGGTAGCAGGAGGGACTAGATGAGCCATGGGGTGCCTTCTACTCTTCTCCTATTATGTGATAAGATGGATGTACTATCTTTCACTACACAGTTAAAGGGATCCTCAAGGTTTTCAACTCGACACCAGAGCAAGAAAAGTAGGTGTCCGCACCACATGGTGCAATTCTTAGTGGTATAAAATGGGATAATGGTTGGGTACGTCAGTCACCCTGTTAAGGTTAAGCTTTAAGGCTGCTTATAGATTTCCAAAAAAAGCGCGCCCCCACACTGAGCGCAGTGCATGCCCAGAAGGGGCATTGTGTTAGTTTGACCCAACTCACCTAACATCTATCTATCTATCTATCTATCTATCTATCTATCTATCTATAATATATTATGTAGATAAGAGGAAGTGCATTAGTTTGACCCAGCTCCCCAGCATCTGTACAGATCAAGTGCTTCAGTGGGGCTTTTATCTAATAGCTGATTGAATCAGCTATTAGATAAAAGACCAAAAAGCCTTGACAGGATATTAGATGGATCCTTCTCTGTGGCACAGACTAGTCCATAAAGAAAAGATTCACTGAGGAGGTGGGGAATAGTGTAGGAGAGAAGATTTGTAAGGAAATCCTTTCGTTGATGTAAATTTAAAAAAAAAATACCAAGACATGATTTTTATCAGTGTAAGATCTTGGGACTGCTATAACTATTTTAGAATGCTATGCATGTCTATTCTCACTGTTTACAAGAGAGCTGTAAGGACCAGAATAAATTATCAAAATAGAGATTTAAATTATTTTGTAGCATGTAGGAACTATAACTGAACAGTGAATAAATATATATATAATGTATTAATGCCCTCACCCTCATCCTTTACAGAAGTTTGCATTGACCAGAGTAAACAAATATGTATTCGGTGAAGTTTTCTTAACATGTTGTTTTGCATTACACATGCTAATATGCCAAAACTACAGTTTTAGGAAGACTGATGTTAGAGTTGAGGACACTTAGCACCTGTGTGCAGTATTGATTGGAAAAAATGGGCCAAATTTTCTTTTCAAAATCACGTACAGGTTCCCCTCGCTAACTGCTGGGGTTAGGTTCCTGAAAGTTGCTGTGGCTGGCAAAACCAAAGGCTTATAAGAAAAATGACAGGTGGCGGGCTGATGCATGGTCACGGAAAACCGTGATTACTCAAAATTGTGGTAGCCAAAATGGTATATAGAATATTAAGTGTGGATGCTCAAAGCTGTGAGTGGCAAAACCGTGGTTGGCAAGGGAAACCTGTACATGAAAACCTACCAATTTTGTGCACATCAGAGGAAAACTCAGTGTATGT